CGCTGCCTACATTTTTAATAACTGGGTCTTCTCTTCTGTTATCACTTGTTATAGCTTAACCCAAGATGCACTGCTCGTATCTTTGATGGAAAGAATATCTTGCGAACCTTTGAAACAACTACCGTTCAAAACCACACCGCTTATGCCTCCACTTTATCCTATTCAGCCGATAGAGGTAGGTTTCTCTGGAAATTCTGGTCTACTTCTGGACGACGAAATCTTCATTTGTAACATGGAGAGATTTATTTGCGATCTATTGAATCTGCGACTTTTTTGATAGTTTGTAAAGGGCGTTTTCCATAGCTTGGCTGTGAAGATGTTGATGAGCTTCAAAATAACATTGTCGGCGCCCCTTCCACAAATCCCATCAGCTCGAAGGACCAGGATCTGCTTCACGTAGGTTAGTTTCGTACCTCACGAAGCAAATCATACAGCTTCCTAGTGAGGGGGTCTGAGCTCTCTTTTGCTCGCTCTTCCTCTGTAGCATGAAGGCGTTCATTTGGTTCTAGCTAATGCTTCTAGACAATGCATCTTTGCCAACGATCCATGCCCCCGCGCAGGAGCTCACCGAAGATCAGTTGAAGGAGTTTACACGTAGGCTGCTCGACGGGAAATCATTAACGTAAGTATTTCATTGATTGGAAGTGTAATTATTGAACACACGGCAACACATTTTCTATTTTCGTATCAAGTTTTTTATCGTTTTCCGATAATTTGTATACCAATTTTGCTCTAGACCTTCATATGACAATATTCATAGACAGAATAAGTAAAAATCTTCTGAACATTATATCATGCTTCAAATCACTAGGTCATCGTTAGTGTTGTTTTAGCACTTCGTAAATTCGAACATGAGCTCTAATCCGGACTGTGTCAGTGAGTATCACCAGGGCAAACTTTGTGGTACTGAAGCATGACACGCTTCAAACGTTGAGGGATGGTGCCCCGAGCGTAACATAGCGGAGAAGTGATTTCTTTATTGGGGAGTGTCTTCAATTGAACTCACTAGCAGCCCTTAGAAACTCCAGTGCGGTGCACGGTGCATAGTACTTTCCATCATTCGTGCTAAACTCTACAAACAGAAACTCCAATGCTGGTGGCAATTGTCCATCTGTATTTTCCTTTAGATAGAAATAAAAGAGCTGTTTAGTTTAGAAGTCCAGACGAAATGATCGTTTTTCAGTCAATCGGAAACGAAACAAATGTTGAAAACTTTGGAACGTGCCGATGTTAACCCTGAGTTTTTGAACCAGTTCATGCAAATGAGTGACTCTGATCTGTCAAAATTAATTGACTTGAATGTGAAGGTTCGTATCGTTTCTTGAGACGTATTTCTCCATCTTTTGGGTGTCTATTTGTAGATATACGTAGGTTTTTAGGAGTATGTTCATATAGGATCCATTATTATTCTGCATCGGTTTTTTTAGATTGCTATAGAAGTTATCGACTTGTGTGTGTCAGCTGATCAATCTTTGGCAAATAGGTTAGTTTTGCTCAAGCAATCTAATGCTTTCTGCTCTTCTTTTTGTTAAGTCGAATTATTCAGAATCATGCGGATAGTCCAAGGAATGGATGTCACTGTTCAATGTATGGAAGTAGTCACTCGACTTTACCAGGTTGTTGTTTTTTAGATTTGTCACTGTAAGCACGCCCGCCTCCTGCGCCCTTACTGTTAGTTTGCCATCCTGTTCCTGTTGTAGCCTCAAATCTCAAGGTCTAAGTTCAAGGGAGCAGGTGTTATGAATTCCCGTTCAAGCACACACACACCAACACACACCGACACACATACACACACCGGTACACAGACACACTTAGATGCCATAGTATAAATCTTATTAAGATTGTATAATTTGATCTCTTATCTCAATATTCTTGATGAATCATGTGACCAAGCGTCTATTGCTCAGATGCCAAAAAAAAGCTTAAATGTTCTAGTACCGCCCGGAACTCCCAAGAGAGCCTCTCAACGACTTTGTTAGATACTGCGTTCGCTACTGTTTGGATGCTACTCCATCTTCTAATCTTAATCGCGTTGTTCGGTTAGTAGCGATCACATTGAAGAATCTCCTTAAAAGCGGCAGCATATCAGCATCGGTGAGTGATTAACTTCTTGATAAGAGCATGAATAGTGAAAATGCAGACATTTTGAAGGAACTATCACTGGAGCTGCGGGAGTTCGGCGTGAGATTCTGCCAGCATCCAGACACAACTTTTCTGTTCAACACAGTGGGGCTGGCTCAGCTCAGAGAAAACAGTGAAGTCGTGGCAAAGTAAAAAAATAATATTTTCCATCACCCTTGTTTTCGAATAATGTAAAAATATATTTGCAACGGGTTTCTTATGAACTGCTAATATCGGATCCTTCGAGTAGTTCGTGTTGTGTATGCAAGGAAAATATTCGCAACGAAAAGTTGGTGTTGAATGCGCCTAACCCTGTCAAACATAAATTGTTGACTTCAAACAGTTCTTCAACCCTTGTCTCCCCAGTGTTTCGAAAAAGTTCTTTACTCGCTTTTAGAAGGCATTGCAGTGCAACGTATCAACGACCTTTTATTCTTGTACCTTCCTGCGATGCCCACCTAAAAAGGAGACCCTTTAGAAGCTGATCATTTGAAAAAGGCAAACAGCACCTGTTTTTTTTTTGATAGCTGCTTTCCTATTGTTCTCGGTGTTTTTAGATCTTTTGAACTCTATTCTTGTGTAACACAATCATGTAATGGCAAAATAAAGAATTCTATTAAAATGTGTGCTACAGATTTGGCTAATTCCAAATTTTATCTTGGTATCGTTCGATTACTGCTTTTGCTGACCATCTCTTTCGGTGGTGCTTATCCTATCTCCTTCACAGGTCTTCAGATGACCGGTGATGGAACGTTACCATGCGGAGGCAACTTGTTTCTTGACTATGTTTGCACATTAAGCAGTGCAGAAAAAGGATACCTCTTTTCTCAGCCGGCATGTGGTACGATATCTTTATCATATAACGTGATTACGTCGTTAGTTTTGTTACCAAAAGCAGGTACTTATTTGGGAAGATGTAAAGAAGAAATACCAAAGAGGGTTTTCATTGCAAGGCATCTGTTCTAGGTCTTTCGCAGTTCATTTTGTTCTCTCCTCGGATACCAACCTTCAATAACATGCAGTCCCTTTCACGACAGTACCGTAAATGAGACATAAAGCCGTTTTCCCAGGGAAAGAAAGCACATATGCGTTCGGGGGGTGCGGGCGGAAATTTTCTGTTCCAGGCGTATGAGGAGTTCTTGTTCCTGTTTCGGTTTTCGCAGACATCAGGTTTTGGATCGCGTTTCAGAGTATCATTTGTAAATTTTCCACAGAATGCCAATCAGGAACAGTAGTGGACTTTGAGAAAGAGTGCGGTTTCTGTTGTCAAACTGAAGGCTTTTCTGTTCGTTGCTTTCTAAAGAGAGGGCGCTCTATTACCCATTTTTCCTTTTTCAGCTTTATTCGTGTTTCGGATGCTGCCCAAGGTTTCTCAGCAAATGGTGATCAAAATGATTTGGAATTCCAATGTCAGGTTTGTAGGCTTCTTTTTTTATATTACCCTTGTTTGAGGAAAAGACCTGAAAGGGTGTAGAATCTGATGCATGAATCGCAGTTAAGTGAAGGATCCAGGAAATAAAAATTCTAACGTCAGAAATCTGATTTACTTCAACTCCAGCGGAGACTGACGAACTATCTTACTTATATAATCCGCTAAGCGTGTATGTTGGTTTTGTGAGTATTTGTGTGTATTTGTCTGAGTGGAAATTCTTAACTCATTTCCCACGTAACTGGACCTAGTGCATTCCAATTTGGTATGTGTACAGGTGGCAGGTGGGAACACTTGCGGCAGGTAGAAGACTAGACTCCGCCTACGCGAGATATATGTTTCGGCGAATATTCATAAGTTCTACTTCGTGAACCTAGAGCATTGAAAGTACAGGTGGAGGGATGGGAATGCCTATATTAAGTGGCATGACCAGACTACGTATAGGGGAGGGTGGGGAGGGGGCTTACTTCGATTCGCATTCGACTTATATTCAGAATCTTAGTGGGTCAATGAATGCGTATGTGACCTAAACCATGGCTTGCGGTGGCCATCCGACGTACTAGTCCGTATTTCATTCTCCCAGACAGCTCTGGTACGAATTAAACGACCCAGAGAGATGGAAGGCTTACTTTCCGTTATTCGATTCTGGACCACGCATGTGTGATAGTTATGTCATTAGGCTGTTTTGGTGATAACGAAGGTGAACGTGCTTCAATAGACATACTATGAGATCGGTGCTTCTTTACTAGAAAGATAAATCCTACTTTCTGTGTTGATTTTGAAATTAAATTGCAGCAGCACAATGGCGCAACCACCTTCTTCAGCAGAAATCGAAGTCGCCGAAAAATTGCTCAAAAACCTTGGTCTTGTAACAAGTAGCGATAAATTACACGTCAGTTCTCTATGTTTTCGCGGGAATAAGCTGATTATCATGCTTTCCAGTTTCATTCCTTTATTGGCCTTCTACGAATTTCTAATTTAGCCTGTCTTTCGGCAGTCATACTTGCGGTCCATCATGCTAGGCTCNGAAATCGAAGTCGCCGAAAAATTGCTCAAAAACCTTGGTCTTGTAACAAGTAGCGATAAATTACACGTCAGTTCTCTATATTTTCGCGGGAATAAGCTAGTTTTCATGTTTTCCTATTTCATTCCTTTATTGGCGTTTTACGAATTTCTAATTTAGCCTGTCTTCCGGCAGTCATACTTGCGGTCCATCATGCTAGGCTCTCAGAAATGTGCGAAAATCAACTCAGTAGAGGTTGATGTCAAGCGGAGGCAAAATGAAAAGGAGCTCGGCAAAAAAGCTTCTGAACGATGGGAATGCATTCTAAGGTTTTCGCGCTCGAGTATAAACAGTGGCATCAATCTAAGTCTTTTCGTATTCAGGTATCTGGCACTGCCTTCAGACAAAAATATGAGCTCCGTGTCATCAACGACACGTGAGCTTTTCTCCGCTGCCGGTTTCACTAGTGACAACGATGGCTCGGCAGATCTTGAAATCACTTCAGCCGGGTTTCAGTTTTTATTGTTGAGCCCTGTGCACCAACTCTGGACGTACATGATTGGTTAGTACCTGAAGTCAGTTTGATCGGGGTTTGAAGCTTTCATTGAAGATAGCTCATAGTTAGAAGAAACACTTTCAGAGTATCTCAAACTAGAGTCTTTCAAAGGCCGAGACATCAGACCCGTTCTGGAGCTACTCATCAGGGTTATTCTATGCGTCGTCAGAGGTTTAATAAATCCTTACGTGGTTTCCGCAATCAAAGCGTATACAGTCGTTGCAGGAGGAGGCTTTTCCCAAACTGCATTCGAAATCAGCAGCAATTGGACAGAAGATCAGACAACGCTCATAATGCACATGAGGGAATTGGGACTTATTTTTATTCGGAAAAGGAAGGACGGGTGAGTGGCCTGCACCAGTAATAGGTACAGCATCAGAGTCTTCCATGATTGGGATGCTGATCAAATTGAATTATTAATTCCCGTCAAGCTGGCTGTTATGTAGATGAGAGCAGCTTCGCCTACTATCTCAAGAGTATGATACTCCGTATTGAGCGTTTCCGAAGTATTGAGCCTCTTCAATTCGAGATCTTTGGAAAGCAATAGAAGTGTAGATCTAATTCCAGTTAAGGTGTTGATCAACATGCATGCTTACTAGGGAAGGATCCCAAGTCGAAGTGGCCATTTGAAATGAGAC